AATTTTTATCGACATATAGACATAAAATTGTGTTTTAATATCGTTTGTACATTTTAAAATACGCCTTAAATATATCGTCTTGTAGGCCGGTGACGGAAATTTTCGGAAATAGGCCTTTTTCGGCTTGCACTGTATTTCAGCTAGAAATTATCTAAAAAAAATTCATTTGACTTTAGTTAAGGTGCCTTAAAATTCTGCCCCCAATATTCAGAAATATTTGTTCTTACTATTTTTCATTTTTTAAGCTTTTGCGACCATTTGGTGAAGAATAAGTTGTAATGTTTACTCTGAATGAAAAAAAATTGTTAATGTAAAAAAATTAATTAACTAAAATTGAAGCGAAATTTTTAATATTTTGAAATGGTACCAAATTTGAAAGGACATAGTTTTTAAAATGACCCCAAACATGGACTTTGAAAAAATATTAAAAAAAATCGGACTTTAAGCTATCCTTCCGAGAAGATATAGTCAACTTAGGAACTTGGAAAGTTTTTCTTCGATTATTGCAAATCCGATTATTCGGAAATATTTTTTTATTAAACAGATTAATAGTTCATAGAACCGTCCTAGAACACGTCATACTAACAATTCGCCGCGCAATTCTCGGTGCTGTCTACACCCTCAATCTTTCATTCACACTTATATGCATATGTATATGTTACCCTATGATACAGTCATTCATTCATTACTTATTCGGAGTCTTCTTCCACACTGCTGCTTGCCAGCTTAAACATCAAACGTTCTGCACAGAATTGTGAGCCTGCTAGCAGCAGTTGAGATGGTTTCAGTCGTTGAATGCTGTCAACAGTATGTTGAGATTAGTTTTGCTCTTGCTGTTGCTTGCTTTTAGGCGCGCTGACATTACGAATGGCTTACTGTTTGCTTTTGAACAACAAAAAAAAACATTGACAAAGGTTGACATTAATGAAAATGGCTACTATGCCTATTAAGATGGACAGCGAGAGAAGTGGCTAAACGAAATAAGCGTCGAATTAGAGGGAGGGACACAGAGAGAGGAAAGTAGAAAATATTTGCTTTGGTAGACATTAATTCGGTAATCTTTTTCTTCTTCTTCTTCTTTTTTGGTAACATTTCGATTCAATATAAATTTATGGTAAACTCTTTACAGCATAGTTTAGTGATGGTCGCTCAGTGGGGAATTCATTAAACTGCTATGAATTGATATTAAAAGATATAAATAATTCTTTATTCGACGCGTTAATAAGATGTTGTAATAACGGCTCAGCGTTATTGCCTCCGCTCTTACTATTATTATTTTATTTAATATATAAGCAAAAAATGTTGAACCCAAGCAACAGAAAGCACTGTCTAAGAAACTTTAATTGTTGCTCTTCAAAGCCAGGTTACTCAAAGAATGTTAAAAAAACGATTTTTTTCCTGTAAATTGCTAGCAAATACTCTTTGAAATAATATAGAATTAGTACCGTTTTGATTTTGCTTCCAGGTCATTTGTTTTACAGTTATCGTGACGTGTATCAGCAGCATTTATAAGAGCAGCCATATAAAAAAAATTTTTCTTCAATTCATATTTTTATACGTCTTCTTATCTGCAAAAACTTTGATTTATAAATTTTTTTATTAATAAATAAAATTTGTTTGAAAAAATACATTTTTTGGAGGAGAGGCCTTAAAGTATGAAGAAAATTTCTCAAGTGGCTTAAAATTGAGAACTTTATTAAAGTCTTAATGTTTAATTTTCGTGCTTAGAAAAGTGTGGGAAATTTCAAAAAATACTTTTTCTTCCTAAAATTTCTTAATATATTATTCTGGCACTCTGCCGGCTCTTACAAAATTACTTCTCTCACTGTGGTGAGAAGCGCCTAGTATTATACTTCAAAATTAAAACAATTAACTAAAATTATTTACCATCTCAAAATCAAATACTGAAACTTTAAATAAGTTTTTTCCTGAATTCTGCTGGCTCCACTTGCAGAAAGGCCGCAAGCAAATTGCTTACATCAACACTTAAACTTTCTTAAAATGGCAAAAAGTTTCGTCTTAACGGTTTTGCACTATGCGTAAGATGGTGTTAAGTTTCAATTCCGCTGTTAAGCTTTGTAAATCTCTCGAAGCAAACTTTTAAACCAAATGTGTATAACTATATATTTACATACATATGTATGTGTGTATGTAGGACTATATGCTCATACAGGTGTTGTTGCCTGCAGCAGTTTTTTGCAAGTGTGGAAAATACAATTTTCCTTCTTAATTCACTTACACAAAACTTGCGAGGAGTTACTTTTTGACGAGCGTTGCTTCACAGTTCGGTATTTATTTTTTATACTAACAGTAAATGCAACACTGTGTGTTCAAATATTTGATGCTTGACTGCTATTTCAAGCAAATAAATTAAATAATTTAAAAAAAAAAATTTTTTTTGAAGTTTTTGAAAATGTGCTAGGAGCGTGTTCCATAAAATTCAAGAAATGTTACGCCGTTCAACTGGAAACCTACAAAAAGTGTGAGTAAATTAAAGTACCTCGAGTGTGTCTTGTGTGCGATTTCTAAAGCACGACCGGAAGGTGCACTCACTTCAAATGAGGAGAAAATTGAACAGCGATAAAGCAGACTCTCTACAAACTCTTGAGAAATTTATGAACAAAATTTAAAAAAAGAACTAAAAATAATAATTCAAACAGTTGATAGCGGTGTTTCCAGTGTATTTCAATTGGAATGTGGTCACGGGGCATATGTGAAAAAACATCGCAATTTTTTCATCAAAAATAAAAATAATTCTGATTCGTATACTACTCTCCCCTTATGCGCTTCAGTTGTTGGCGGAAAAAAATGTAAATGCAATTATTATTTTAAAGAATTTTTCGCCACAAATATTTGGCCGTTAAATATTGGAGTGGTATTTACAATTCGCTGAAGGGTCAACAAAGTTGATAAACATTTTATAAGCGAATAAATATTTTTTAGCATTTTGGAGTATATTCTGTGAATTAACTGTATATTCTGTGAATTAACTGTATATATTTAGCTGGAATGTTTGCAGACAAAAAGATTTATTATAATAGTTGCATTTGAGAGCTGCATTCGATTTAAAATATAAAAAAAAAATTATTTATTATTTTTTTCTTGGCAATTTAAAATAAATTTGTAAACATATTTTTTTTAAAGTCATGTTGCAAAAAAAACTAACAAAAAAACTGCACTTTATTTTGCACGTGTATGTAGTTTGTTTGTACTAGTTATTGCAAGTAAATTTTAGCAGCAGAAATTACAACATAGAAGAATGTAAAATAAAATGTTTTTTTTTTCTTTTAACCCAAAAACAATGCAACACCACGCACACAAAAAATACTCATTTATGAAGAACAACCCACTCAAAAAAAAAACTTTTCCTTCAAACTATTTGCAACAAAATCGTTGAGTTCAATGAAAATACCAATACATTAATTTTTTTTTTTCAAATATATACATACATATGTAGATTGATATAAAAATATATATATATTTCAGTTTCATCCACTCGCACAAAAAAAAAAAAACGCAAACAAGAATTTTGAAAACTTTTTAATTTCCTTTCCAAACCAACTATTTCTAGCAACAACTTGCTCTGCTGTACTTACTTTACCGTTTTCGTGTAAATACTTACAGTTTAACATGCACAAGCACATAAATAAACCTCACATGTACATACCTACATATACTATTTCACTATTGTATATACATACATACAAACATATGTACATACTTAGAGACATTCATATCGTTCTCTGCTAGCTTTTCTATACTCAAAAAAAAAAAACAACTTTAGACGCATTTACAACAATTAACATATAATACATACAAATAGAAACACATGTATATATGTACATATACTGAAGTATTAACATTTGGCAATACTTTACAACTTTTTACATACCTTCTTTATACAATATAACATGCATATGTAAATACATACTTGATATACATACTATTTTTTTTTTATTTTTATTTAATTTTATTTTAAATTCTATCTTTTCCGTATTACTTTTTAATACATACGAAAAAAATTTTTTTTTGTTTTTTATTTTTCATTCCTTTAATTCTGTTTTCTTTCTTTTAAATATCAAGAAACACGCCAACCAATTATATTTTTTTTTATTTTCTTTCAAATTTTTTTCTCGCTGCCCACTTTGCAACATTTTTAATTACTATTTTACTGTATGTTACCTGTTCTCTGTGTCTTTTGCTGTTCGTACTTCGTTTCTTTTCGCCTCCAGCAAAATTTACACGCTCTTAAATACATCAATAACTTTAAGCCTTGTTTGTGTTTGTTGGCCAAAAAGCAGAAAAATAACAGGGAAAAAAACGCAAAAATCACACTAAACAAATACCAAACAAAAGCCAAACAACTAAAATTAAACCGAAATTTCTGTTTGCAAACTATTTTTGCATTTTCGCACACTCACTTCCGTTTCCGCGCGCCCACACCAACGCTCACTCACTCGCTCACTCGCTCACTTATGCAATGTTTGCGCCCACCGCCACTATAAATAATTCCCACTTACTCAATTTCCCTAACAATGCTTCAAATATAATACACAACGGCGAAACCGATTTAACACGAAACACAAAATTCAAATGAATACAAAGCTCGCTCAACTTTTGAGTTTTTGCGCAAAGTTGCAATTTTTTTTAATTAATCCTTTTTTTTTTGCGAATGCGAAAGTGTAAAATATTTTATATAACTTTTTTAAGTTTGAAGAATTTCTTTTGAAATTCCTCCTTTTTAGATTTTTTATTTTTTTATTTTTTATCTTTTTGCTTTAAGTATTTAATTTTTCTCGTTTCTTTTTTGTTGTTGTGTATTAACTTTAATCACATTAAAAATTGTAAAGAATTTCTTTTTTTTTTTTGTATATTTTACTTATACTTTTACTTGCAAACTCGTTTGTGCAAGCATAAACTAATAGTTTTTTGTTATTCTCTCTCTTCCACCAAATTCCCTTACCATTTAACCTATCCGACCACTTTCCCCATGTAAACAGACGCCTCGCTGACGAAGATGACGAATTATCCGAGGTGCAACCGGATGCTGTGCCACCGGAGGTGCGTGAGTGGTTGGCCTCCACTTTTACGCGGCAGTCGGCGACCACGCGTCGACGCACCGATGAGAAACCGAAGTTTCGCACTGTGGCACATGCCATACGTGCCGGCATATTTGTGGATCGAATATACCGTAGCGTCTCACGTACGGCGCTCATGCAATTTCCGCCTGAAGTTGTCCAAATACTCAAGGTAAGTAAGTAGTCGCACAATGCGCAACGCATATCAATTATTAATCATTTCATTGGCGCAGTTCAGTTTGATAAAGTTATTGGGTTTTAAATTCTATAAAAATCATATAGCTGATAGCAAGAGTTATATTTAAGTAGAGATTGGTTAGGCTTTCTGACTGCTACGTCTTACATGCGCCTGTTAGTTTTGCTTCTGGTGCTATGAATATCGAAACTTTCATATTTCTAAGACATGCCTGCCTCTCTACACTTCCCAACTTCCTGCTAAAAATGCACAGTCTGCTCTGGTCTAATATCAGTTCTTGTGAGCTGTCATTAGCGCGGGAATTACCCTGTAGCCCTTTCGAAACTACGTGAGCAAAAGTGGATGTGTTTACTTTCGCTGCCATTGCTCCTGATTTTGGCTGTTTTGCAAACAGACAGTATAAATAATGAAATTTACTCAAATCTCGTTCAATTTATGTACCCTAAGCAATGAAAAGTAAAATTGCGACGCCTATAAATCGTTGCCTACATTAAGGCGTAAAGTTAATTGTATCAAAGTCGCACACCCATAGAACATTAAATTTGACTGATCATAATAGTTATTATTAAAAATTGTTTCTGCCCGAGATTTTGCTCATTTTACAACACCAACAAGCATTATTACCTTGATTTTAACGAAACATTTTTTTTGTCTTGCAATTGTCATCTAACCGATGAAAAGACTTAATTACTTGCATCCTATTATGCAATCAGCAATAGAGAGTGGATTACTGGGTTTACGTCTGCTTGTTTGCCTATCATCCCGTTGCACATCACTCTCTTTATTCCAGGTGGTCGAGTTTTTAATGTTAAATGGAGCAATTCTTTAATTAGAAGATTAATCTAAGAACGTTCTTAGGTCGTTCAAATTAATATAAAAAAACTCTAAATAAATTAGTTAAATTTCGGTTAATTCAAATAGATTGATCAGTTACACGCACATCCTTAATCCTTATTTTAGTTTAATTACTCTGAAAGGCATTCGACTTGAGCAACTCCATAAGGGTTAAGATTGCCTGCTGTATTTTTAAATTTTTTTTTTCTACTCCAATAACGTATCTTGATTGTGCATATATACGGAATGTGAATTGTGCTTTACTTTCTTCTGTATTCATATCGATTGCTAATCATTTGCTCATTCACAGAACTTGGACGACTGGTCGTTTGACGTGTTCGCCCTGGCGGAGGCCGCTGGTGGGCAACCGATCAAATACCTCAGTTACGATTTGCTCAATCGCTACGGCATTATTCACAAATTTAAGATAGCACCTGCCACTTTGGAATTATTTTTGAATCGCGTCGAAGAGGGCTACTGCCGCTATCGCAATCCATATCACAACAACATACACGCGGCCGATGTTACGCAAACGACACACTATGTGCTCTGCCAGACGGGCCTGATGAATTGGCTGACTGATTTGGAGATATTCGCCACATTACTTGCCGCACTGATACACGATTTCGAACATACCGGCACCACCAACAACTTCCACGTGATGTCCGGTTCTGAGAAAGCGCTACTCTATAATGATCGTGCCGTTTTGGAGAATCATCATGTGAGCGCCGCTTTTCGTTTGCTTAAGGAGGATGATTGTAATATATTGGTGAATTTATCACGCGAAGAATTTCGTGAATTTCGCACACTCATCATTGACATGGTGCTGGCCACCGATATGTCCTTCCATTTTCAACAATTGAAAAATATGCGCAATCTACTCACGTTAAACGAGGCGTCGGTGGATAAGTCCAAGGCCATGGCTTTGGTACTCCACTGCTGTGATATTTCTCATCCGGCAAAACGTTGGAATCTCCACCATCGCTGGACGATGTTGCTGTTCGAGGAATTCTTTCGACAAGGAGATTTGGAGCGTGAACTGGGACTGCCCTTCAGTCCCATGTGTGACCGCAACAATATACTATTTCCCGAATCACAAATCGGCTTCATTGATTTCATTGTCGAGCCGAGTTTATCGGTAATGTCCGATATGTTGGAGTATGTGTTGACACCGCTGGCGCCCATGTGCAAAACCTCGAATGCCAGCATCGATGCGGGTGATGCGCCGGTAGATGGCGCGGCTGCAAGTACACGCCAGAAAGCAGATGGGGAATGTAGCACGTCAGCTGCAGCGCAACCTGACGATGGTACGGCGAAGCCTAGTGGCGCAAAACCGACCCCGAAATTTAGCATACGAAAACCATGGCTGGCTTGTCTCAATGAAAATAAGAAAATCTGGAAGGAACAGTCGCTGAAAGGTGAGTACAAATCCAAAATTTAATATTCTTATTTAAAAAAATGTGTGTGAATTTGCCTACATGAGAGGGGGTGTGAGGATGGAAGAAAGAGCATGCAGCCAAAAACAAGACCGCTAGGCATTGTTTTATCAATTTAACAGCAGCTTTCGGCCTTTTCATTGCGCGCACAATTCTTGGAATACATTTTTTTCGCTCGCTTTTCTTTTGTTAGTCTTTTCGCATAATTTGCACGCACATTGAGTTTATTGATTTTGTGTAAATTGCCGAAAATTTAACATTAATTGAAATTCAATTTACCGTTTGATCTTTGGCTTTTCGGCACTTGACTGCGCTCCACAGAACCCTCTTTGGAGTGACTTCGCTCCGGCTGACCTTAGCCCACTGCGTGCAGTCAATGGTTTCTGGTAATTTTGCTGTTTTTGTGTGTTTGTCGGCTTTGTTAATTAATTAATAGGATTTTTTCATTTCATGTTTATAGTCATAAAAACAGGGAACAATAATTAAATTGAAATAAATTCCTGCTAAAAATGTCTACCGACAGTTACTACAAAAAGATATCCAATATTTTTTTAATCTAATTTTTTTTTTTTGCCTTTCGCGCTTTGAATCCGCTGTAGCGATTTTCGGCCGAACTCCTCCTCCAATTTCCAATTTGCCTTTTTGATGCTTTTCCAACAAAATCTTCCAAAACCTTCCTACCCACAGTTTATTCTAAGCCGCCTCCGAAGAGTTTATGTATTCTTATGAGAAGCTTCTATTTCATGTCACTCGGAGGGCTTGACATTCCCTGCCGAGAGGTGACCGCAATTAGAAAAAGTAGCTTTTACGATTAAATGTGGATCGATCCAAGACTCGGACCCTAGCTGTTGAGGCCGACATATGCATACATGAAATATAGTTTAACTTTAACCGCATTTAAATACACCACTTCGCTTACCGGGCGGGGACCATGGTTGCCAAAACTTGCTACCAGGTAATAAGTAGAAGAGTTGATGATGCTTCCTTCAGAAGAAACTCTTCTTTTGAGTTTTTCTGCATATTATCCGTTGCGAAAGTTTATCAAGCCGAGGATTATATAGGAGCTGAATTCTCGGACAAGGATACATTACTCTACAAAGACAGTCATGTAGCGAATAAAACGCTTGTCTCACTTACGGCAAGATCAAAAATTGTGTTTAACTTTTGCCTATAGGTTAGGGTTAGGTTTAACTGGTTAAGCCAGCGAGTGTCACTTACGTCCATAATATTACCAGATATACAACATACGACCAAGCTGCACTGCTACCCTGTTGTGTCAATAGTTTACTGGAGTACCCTACTAACAGTTCTACCAGCTGCATAGAATCCAGCTTCTTTTGACGTTGTTATAGATGCTAATGCTGCCTTCTAGAGACAAAATTATTTCCCATTTCAAATTTGTAACTCTCAGCAAATAACGAGCTCAAAATTGGCTTATTGATAATCTAGTATACTCGAAAGTAAACTACCATTTCGCCCATAATTCCCTCTTTTTCACCGCGAATTCCACTTTTTACCAGCTGTACAAAGGAGTACCGGCTTGAGCTCGATGTGAAAGACAGTGGTGCAAAAATTCCGACAATAAATAATTCAAAGATATTGTTAGACACATTCGACCGCTTGCGCTACGGCACTACCCTCATGACTGCAATTGCAACTGGGGAAAAGGCGGAGAAACGTTGCTCTGATTTGGACGCCGGAGGAGACTAGCGAGACGCAAATGAAAAAGTATGAACGACCCTTAGCACCATGACAAACAACCTCCTGATGATGGCATCACGTATAACAAGAAAAATATATTCCAGCAGTAGCTCAAAGTTAGCAGTGCAAGAAAATCTGCTGAGGTGCCAGCGTCGGAGACATCTACTCGTGCCTTAACCTCCTCCACTCAGGATTGGCAGGAAAAGAGTTATAAGCTATTCCGCACCATAAACAAGAACGGCTGAACAGGATGGCCTACCGACAGGCTTACAACCATTAGTTCGTCAACACCTTCATGAACTCTTTTCCAGTGAATGGCATTCTCGGAATCTAAGTTCCACTCATTGCAAACGAAAAGATCCGGCTCGCGAGACCCGATATAGACTTGACCGTAATATACAAGACGTATGTCGTTTTGTTTTTATCAGATTAAATTACTTTCAAATCAATTGAAAAAAAAATAAAATCAAAATATATTCAGATTAGATTTAGTCAAACCAAATTAGACTATATTAGATTAATCTACGATGAACTGCTTAAGATTGATTTAGAAAAGTGCTGAAACACCAGCGCAACTTTTTACGATTTACTTTCCCACCCACTCAGGAAAACTTTACGAAATTCACGAAAGTCACGAAGAAAATTAGTAGTATTAACCACTTCCCCGAAGCAAAAAAGTCAATTTTCACATTTCTCTTGTAAGCTTGTTTTCCATTTTGTATTAAAATAACTGCACCGCAGGCAATAAGTACCGTAAAGCATCGTTTTTGCGTAATACAGAAAAACATATACACATGCACAGACACACGCACAGTATGCACATTTACATAATATTTCATTGACAATTTACACAAACCGAATGAACTTGTGAATTTGAGTGAGTGATTACTCACTGACTGAGAAAAACTTTCATAATTCCCAAAGGCCTTTGTTGGATCTTTAGTCTACACAGTGGCATCGAAAGCTAATGCCATTTAGCACATATTAATAAGTATATATGTACATACAGTGGCTCATAAATGAACTCGGACACACAAGTTATATGACTTTAAACAAAAAAATATATAATAAAATACGAATCGAGGGCTTTCTGTTTAACATATTTTTCTATTCTTCAAGTGTGTTTTTCAAAACAACCAAAACCGTAAACCAAATTCAACTCGGTCGTATAAAAACAATATGAACATAACAACGTGTACGGATATATACGTGTACATAACATAGAATTTGAGAATATTATTTAAAGAGAAACAAAATATTCTTAATATTTGCCCTTACTTTTTCTGACAGCATTCAGTCTTCTTGGCAAAGATTCAACTAGCTTCTTGCGTTTCAAAGAGTTTATTTTCCCCACTCTTCCAAAATATCGGTCTCTCGATCTTTCTTATTTCTAATAACATGCATTTTCAGTTTATTTTCCAAATGAGCCCACAGATGTTCAATTACGTTAGTGTCGGGAGATTGGGGAGGTGTTTCAAGCACTTTAGGACAGTTATTTATCAACCATAGACGGACATCAAGTGCTTTATGCTTGGGATCGTTGTCTTGGTAGTACTGGAAATTGTCTTTAATTCCCCCACTTTTTCGCACTTTGAACTAAATTTTTTTTTTAAATGGTCAGATATTGCTTGTGGTCCATTATACCAATTATGAAACACAAATTCCTAGTACCGGCTGCGGACATACAACTCCATACCATTACTGAGCCGCCCCGTGTCTAACAGTAGGACGTAAATTCTTTCGGTTAACCTCGTTTATAAATGGTTTCTTCCGTGCTACTCTTCCATTATAATTATTTTTTCGTAAGACTATTCGGATACTCTCCGGATTACAAATTATATTGAGATGTTGCAAAACTTCTGTTGAGAGCTTGGGAGCGCTCATGTTTTCATCTGCAGCCGAAAACAACTTCGGTCGTCCAGACTTCTTTTTGTTTTCTACGGATTTTGTTTGTTTGAATTGTTTAATCACGTCATGGACAGTCGAGCGGAGTCTGATCACAATTTCTGCGATTTCCCGAATGATTTTTCCTATTTCAAAATGACTAATAATTAATTTCCTTACTTCAATTGAACTTTGTCCATGCTGTCTAACCATGTTTGAACTTTTCACCTTTTTTTCCAAAAAAACTACTGAACATTTGTATTTTTAACGAAAAGAAACTAATTGTGGGATTCCCATTTTTATTATTGTAATATTACCACATGTCCGACTTCTTTTTTGGCGAAATTTCTAGCATGCCACATGTTAATTTTTTGAAGTAAGGATATAGGAGACCTTTAAACTATTTAATTTGTTTGTTATTGGTATTTTAAATCCTTATTGAATACCCTATAGAAACATAAAAAAACAAAAATGCTTAATATCAATTGGTTGAAAAAATCTAGCTTGAAGTTGCATGCTAATAACAGTGGAATGTATGTCCGTGTTCTTTAGTGAGCCACTGTATGTATGTACAAGCATACACATAAATATCTGCAACAACAATTCAACTAATTGGCGCACCAATTTAGTCATGTCACAAGTGATTTCCACATTTTCACCCAACAAATCACTGCTTCGGGCTGTCGCTTTCCGCTTGGCAGACTGATAAAAATAAGTTATCTGGCAAATGATTTCTCCAACAACGTTGAAGAAAGGGCAAGTGGCTCTAGTTATGTTCTGGCGTTTGTTTGTTATTGTACAAAAACCACAATTTTCCAAACGCTTTTCAGTATATCTGGCAGTGGAAATAAAAGGGAATTAGAAAATATTGATTTCTTGGTTGGCTATTTTTTTTGGTCCGAATTATGTTCGTAAGTACCAGAAGGAGAAGAGAGAGTTCGATGAAAATTCATACCGATCGGTGCAGAACCATGAGCTAAGTTGATGAGCCGTGTTCGTCTGACCATCTGTTTGATTGCAAACTGTTCTCTCACTTTTTGCGATTTTTCCATTAGACTACGAATTATTTTTTACGGTATTGATCATTAGACGAACTAATACGAGTATTGCCTTTTATATTTCCGGATTTGGCAACCCTCATGTGGCAACCTGGCAAGTGATTAATTATCATAAAGTTGAAGTTATTCAAACTCAGAATGTTTGGATGTAGGGGCGCTATTTGTGTTGTTTATACTAACTTAAAAAATTCAACTCGGCCAAGAAATGCAATTAAATCGCTAACATTTTCACACACAGTGTACCAATGGACTTAAATCGGTTTTTGGCGGTGAAAATTCCTCAAGGACCAGTGTTTATCGAAGCTATGATAAATTGAATGAAGGTTGTAGATCAATCTAAGACGAATTTCGTGAAGCTCGTCTAAGTGCAGCTGTTGTTCCGGAAACTATTGATTCTGTACGCAAGCTGTCTTGAGATTTTGAATTTTGAACATTTGACTGTAAAAAAAATTGTTCGTGTTTGATCCCACACAATTCGTCAATCGCTCAAAAAAGGCTTGTGTCGATTGGTCGTGAGAAATGCTACACGTGGATTTATGGGTATGAGCACGAAAAGAAAGAGGACTCGAGTCTAACAAAAGTTGTTCGCGCACGAAAAGCTGTCATTTTTTTCCTTCTTATTTTTACTTATTTATTATTTTTTTATTTTTTTTTTATTTTTTTTTTTATTTTTTTTTATTTTTTTTTTAAATTTTTTTTAATTTCTTTTTATTTTTTTATTTTTTTATTTTTTTTTTTTATTTATTTATATTTTTTATTGAGAAACTGACAACCATATCACTAGAACAACATCAAACAGCAAATTCTGAGTGACTCATAATTTTTTGTTTTCCAGTTGTCTTGTAAGAAAATAGAAAAACTTGCCTTAAAGACGATCACTCTCACCGTGACAATGCAAACGGTCACACATCGACTGAAACAACTCAATTATCGAATATTGAATACTTCGACAAACATTCATCCACCATAGTCCTGACTTGGCAAAAAAAAATTCTTATTATTCCCGCGAGGAATAAAGGCATTTCGACATTTTCAGAGGCGGTTGATGCTTTCAGAAGGCATGTTTTGGAGACACCTCGATCAGAGTGGCAAAAGTGCTTCGACAATTCGCTCAAAGTCATGCAATTGTGTAAAGATCTTAATGGAGAATGTTGTTACATATATTTTTCCTGTAACGGTTGACTGTCAGTGAAAATATGTATGTCTCTACTACAAATAAGGCTTCTGGTTGTGCCTTATTTATCGTTCAACAGTATTTGTTTAAAATAAATTATTTCCTCCCAAAAGTTCTAGTAGCGCATCTGAAAAATTTATCTTGAAACCTAATGCTCGATAGGCTAACAAACTCTCTGTAGATGTCGCTCTTACGGCTATCTGGACCCTGGATTTTCAAAACAACTGTCTAAAAGATCTAGTTGCGAAGGAATGATTTTTAGCATTGTCTGTAGCGTCGACTTAGTTCATGTGTACCGTGAAAAGTCAGGGAAGCTTCTTTGCGACTAAGATAAAAACTCTCGCATATACTGGGGGTTCGGACGGGGTTCATTCGGAAAGGCTTGTGATTAGTCGCATTTGTACAAGGAATTTATTAAATTTACAAGTAGTTTGAGGAAATTTTGTATGAGAAAGTGTCCCAATATTTTTATAAATTCAACGTAGACAAAAATCTTTTTTTAATGAAATAAATTAAAATTCACATCTAAGAAACAAAAATAAGAAATTAACAATTTTCTCACTCTTCTCTCTCCTTACAGAGGAAGCCGCACGCAATGAAAAAGCTCAACAGGAAAAGGAAAAGGAGGGTGAAAGTGAGGAATAAAAACTGGGAATTTATAAAAAAAAACAGTTGATTTAAATAAGGGCAACACCATATTTTGGAACTGAATAGAGACTAAACATGTGTGAAATGTGTAGAAAAAAGAACAACAAAGAAAGAAACATGTAGTTACAAAATATTTGAGATAAATACATACATACAAATATATTTAAGTTAATTACTAATTAATCATTATTTTATAAGCTAACACCATATTGTATGTATACATTCACCGTTAAAGCGATTGCTCGTTGTTGAAGCGGATACACAGAATGCAAGCATCTTTGTTAATACGCTTTAATATGTAAAAAAAAAAATATTTAAAAAAAAAAACATTATTAAAATATTGTAAATATAATAAATTTAACTTAAATCAACTTTTTTATGTACATATGTATGTATATGTGCTTACGCAAACAAATGCCTGCATAGTTGTATATCATTATAAACAAAGGCATAAAAAGTTCAAATAAATCAACATGCAAACTTAAACAAAGAAAAAAACAATTAGAAAAAAATGAAATATTTCCGAAATGAGATTATGTAAATGTGTGCACAGCGACGGAATTCGTTACAGAACCAACTTTCATTTACTTTGGCCATATATATCGGCATCAAAGCAACAAAGCGAGATCATAAGTTAAATAGCAAATATGGCAAAACTAAGCAAAAATAGTTTTCACATCCATATTTCTATAAGCATGTACACATACTTGCAAACTACAGTACATAAATACATACAATACATACATAGATGTAAATAATAATTGTAATTAAATACATTTAATTACATATAGATCAAACTAAAAATATTGTTACAAACTACATGCAGTGCAAGGCATACATATATACAAAAACAAAAAAAAAATAAAAAATAAAAAAACTATAAGAAGTGTAAGAGTTTTTCGCTGACACTCAAAGTAGCCTCAAATGCAATTTTTTAAATATATTTATTATTTACAACTGTAGAAGTGTATGTAAATTAAACTGAGTGCGGCTGTTTAATAAAAAGGGATTAAAAAAATGTTGACTAATACTGTTATAATTAATGTTTACTTTATTACTTGTTTAATTAGTCATTAAAATAATAACAAAAATTGTTAAAAGTCCCGAATTATTTTTTAAGTACTTAAAATTATTATAAATAAAATAAAATCCAACAAACTTTAATTTTCTATGTCGTTATTTTCTACTATTCATGATTTTTAAAATAAATCTGCTAATGTTTTTGAGTGTCGATGAAATTGAGATTTTGTAGCCTATTTCAAGGGGCAAATACTTATTAAAACTGAAGAATGATGTACGCAAATTGATATAATGTTAACAAATTGAAGTAAGTCAAGTTAAAACAAAAAATAAATAAAAAAAAAAAATAAATCGAAAAATAAATTATATAAATAACAGCAAATAAAAACATAATCGAAATTATACTCGAAAAAAATGAAATAAAATGAAATTAAATCAAGCAAAATAAGAAAAAAAATAAAATATATCACACTTTACGATAAAATATCACAAAATAAAATTTTATAAATTATTAACAAGTAAAACATAACAAAATTATAAGAAATAAAATATAATCTAAATTAAAAAAAAATTAAATTATCTAAATAAAAAAATAAAAAAAAATAAAATAAACCAAACTAAATAAAAATAATGTAAATGTAAATCAAATACAATGGAGATAATTAAATAACATAAAAATTAAAAATAATATAGAGAAATTGACAAAAAACAAATAAAATGAATTTATAATAAATTAAATCAAAGCAGGAAGTAATATGAAATCATTTAAAATAAAATAAAATACTATAAAAATAATTATGTTAAATGAATAAAACAAAGTAAAGCAAAATAAGACAAAATAAATTTAGTGAATAAATAAAATAAAAAATGCAAATAAAATAAAATAAATTGAAATCAAATAAAACAAAGTAAGCCAAAGTAAAATAAAAGAAACAAAATGAAATAAAAACATAAAGTAAAATAAAAAATAATTAAATTAAAGTGCAATGAAGTAAAATAAAATCAAATTATTTACTTTCAAACAGAAAAATATAATAAAAAAGTGAAATAAAATAACATGAAATTATATATGTATATAATTGGCGCTTTGTAACCGCTGAAGCGATTTTCGGCAGACAAAAAATTAGAATAATATAATAAATATTGCGGCGTCAAAATATGTAAAAGAAATAATAAAAGTAATTAAAGGAATTTATACTTGAGCATACAGACAATTTTATGCCTCTAAGAAAATTTAAAATTAGTTTTGATTCAAAAATAAGATATTCGGACAATCTAATATTCACATTTTCTGCTATTTTAAAATGTATTGACATTTGCGTAGCAATAATAAACTGAAATGTAATGTTCTGCGCTGCTTTCCACACAAACTTCGCATATTTTTATTTAGGAAATCTAAATCTTCAAACACTCACTTTTTAGGGAAACTTTTGAATATTTTTTTTTGTCAATTAAAAAAAAAACATTATTTATTTGTTTGTTTTTTTTTTTTTTGGTATTCCAAAGTTCCAACATTTTGAATTTAAGTTTTATTTTACTAGTGTAGATTACAACTACAACTACTACTTACTACAGCTGCATACTTATGTAACGTATTTCAAATACTCTTATTACTCTATGACTCTAGTGACTCCCGTTCGCACTGTCCACCATCCAAATACACTACAACTACAACACTAGGGATAAACTATACATTTGTATATACATACCTACTTAGAAATAATACTCATATCTAACTAAACAATACGCATACATACGCATATATAATTATATCTTCAATCAATACATATACATATATGTATATATGAAAGGAAATGATATATGTTTGTATGTATGTAACGCCAAATGCATATTTATAACAAATACTTAAAAAGCATACATAAATGCATACAAATAGATATGTGTTTGTGTATGCGTGTGTGTGTATAAATGACAAATTTATTTTTATACGTGACAGTTTTGTTGTCTGTTGAATAATAATTAAGTATTCGTTTAATTGTCGTACGAATTTTCATTTACGATTTTCTCTTTGTCTTCTCATTTTCGTCACATTGTTTTTCAAATACAATGAGAAACTAGAAGATAATTTTTTAGTTTGAAAGTTTTCAAATGTCTGATAGCAGGACCATATCTTATAAGTATTACCATTGCTCTTCACTTTGGCTATCAGAGTAAAGAAAGTGATACTTAATAAAAGAGATACTTATAACAGTTCAATGAGATTGCGAATGCTGTGTGTTAGAATTTCAAAAAAGCTATAAAGCGATTAGGTGACAGGAAGGAAGAATTCGGTGCTGGAGGTTGAGAGCAATGGTAACTACACTTAGCAGTTGGGTACCTACATTATCAGCTGAAATTGGGATCATAGCTTTATTAAGGTAGTAAATAATATACTGGATAAATAGTATAAATATATACTGCAATGTGCGTATACACAAACATACATTATTCATATATACAATACATATAAATATACATATAAATCATATACACATCACCCATACACGCACGCACACACACACACACACACACACACATTCAATGCAATTACTCAACACCACAGTCAACTTAACAACAACATTTTACATGCATGTATATGTTAAGAAATTAATTAACGCCTACTTGTGTATGTGTCTGTAGATATGTACAATCGCATAGGTCGACGCAATTCTGTAATATACGAAAAGAAAATGCCATTATAATTTTTAGTTTTATTAAACGGCCAAAAAGTATGCTTCAAACTGAGCTTAAGTTTGCGTAGGAATTCCAAAAAGACATTTTATTTTATTTTTTTTTTTTTAAATTTATTTTTCTGAAGTAGATAACTTCATAAAATACTTTCCAACTTTTACTATCTACTTGTCGACCTATCTACATACACATGCCATATACGTGTATATGGATTTCACGGAAACTATGAATGTATGTATATGTCAACAAAAATGATACATATGTATATGTATGCTTGTATTTTCGAAGAAAAATTAATATAAAACATAATTGTAAAATCCAGGTTATTATAATTTAAAATCCATACAGAGCGTAAACATAAAGAAAAACATTAATAAAATTAATGAAAAAATAGACAATTTGGGAAAATATGACATATAAAGTACATATGTATATATGTATATTTTAAATTAAGCGACAAACGGGCAGAGAACACTTAGTTAAACTTCAAAAAATAATTTTGCTATTTTCCATAATTCATAAAGTAAAAGCAAATGAAATAACAATAATTATATATGTATATAATGAGTAATAAATAGTGTAAAAGATCAGAAACATATATGTATATTTGTATGAAAGTATACACAAGTTGCTTATTAATCAATTAGCAAGGGAAAGGGAAATTTTTGAAAATATAAATTCTTTAGTGAAGCAGCAATTTAACCACGTCCATGAAAAAACTTTATCAAACTCAAATGCAATAACCAAAAGAAAATACTTTAATTAAAGTTAAAAATTATAAGTGTACATACGTAGATATATACGATATATACGAAAAATCAGTAATAACAGTAAGCTCAAATATTAAAGAGTTAATTGTTTCACATAAAATTGAAAAAAAAAAAATTGAAAGACAAGCATACATTTTGCAGTAAAAATATTTTGAAACAAATGGAACTCGTAGATGGGAGGGTTTTTTTCGAATGCCACAAATAAAGTGACTTTAGCCAAGCAGAAAAATCTTTGTAAGCAAATAAGAACTATCAACTATTGAGTTGTTTAAATTGTTCATGGCTTGAAATCAATTGAAGCGGGCCCTGATTCATATGGCTGGGACAGCTATACTGCGAAAAAATTCTCCGAACTTGTGAACTCCAGTTCTCCAGCATTATTTTTTTTCCATTGTATTTCGCTTTTTCAAAACTCTATTAATTTTTCAAATATTCAAATTAAACATTAATCAACAAGCAACAAATAATAGAAAAGTAAATTAGATTAGGAGGTATTTATTTAGGTTATGTTCACTTGAGAACGCAGAACCTTCAAGTTTCAGCGCCGTTCGTGCAGCGTGTGTAGTTTTTTTCACTTGCTTATATGAAAAGGATTGTGTAACTTATAAAACTATTTTTTTTTTTAATGGAAATTCATAAATCTTATAACTACATACAAACAATAATATCCTATAATTACACTGTACAAAACAAACAAACAAACAAACAAACAACAAACAATGTCGTATATATACATTCATACATATAAGTATATGTGTGCATGTAATGATAAATTTTGGCAAAACTTGGAAAAAAATTCTAGCTAAATTTTAATAAATATTTATTCAGACTGTTTTATCCCATATATTAAGTTTTTTTATTTTATGTCTATATATATATATGAATATTTAGAATACCTTTAGTACAATAAACGGAAGGCATAGTCATGTTTAAACTTTTATTCAAGGCTTATTTTCGTTCAAAACACTCACAAGCAAATTTTTACAAAAAAAAAAAGTATTATTTTGTACAGTGTGATTGAACAATCAGTGCCTCTAATACACTGTGAAACTGTGTTTCATTTCATTTATCAATCTAACAACAACCTTCTAGTGAATTGTACAAATTTAATAAAAACACGTCTAATGAAAGAAATCTATAATCTCAAGTTCAAAGCCAACATAGCAAATAAGTATGTATCTATGTACATACATATACACTTGTACTTGTAAAAATTTATAAATTTTACATAAACATTCCTACTTTGCTACACCGTTAAATGAAACCGAAAGTAATTATGCTAATGCAAATCCAGCAAGAAAACTTCAAAAAATATGTATAACACACACATACACGTATATACATAGATTTGTTGATAGAATGAGTGCTACAAACGCTGCAAAGGAATATGTGTATGAAAATGAAGAAAATAATAATGAAATAATTTTAAATAGTATAAAAAGCAAATTTAGTCCTTAAGAAGTACAAGCGTAGACGTCTTTAGCAAAGAAAAAAACATTATATTCAAAATTCTTGAGGTTATGGTGAATTTAGTGTAGAAATAATGTAGTTGAAACGATGTTACAGAGCGAGATAGCATACATGGAATGAAAGCAATCATTTAAATTAAATAAATAGTTTTACAATTTAGCTGCTTGATATAAAGTTAATCAAAATAATGCACATACAAACCTACTTATATGAAATTATTGTAGAAGCCAGCTTCTCAAGCTTAATAAGTAAAATAAACATAAAACTAAAAGTACATACATACACCTTTTAGTATATACATATACAAAATTAATTTATAACGTTTATAGCACACTAACTGTAAATATTTTGGGTAACCTTTTATTTTTTTTAACTGGCACATAAAGTTAAATTTATTAAAAGAATTAAACATAAAGTTGACCATCAAAAAAATGCATTAAATTAAATTAAATTCATTTCGTTTGTATATACATTTTTGTTATAAAATTATATATTTATTATGGATGCGTATGCAAAAAACATTAATATCGGAGTTACTCTGAAATCACTGGCATTGTAATTTTATTATACTATAATACACAAAAATGTTGATAATATTGACTTGATAAATAAATTGCAAAACAATATGTAATATATAATGTATTGTTTGATTTATAGTAAAAGAATAACTATTAATTATGCTATACATATGAGGAATATTAATAAATACTTACAAATTCAAAATACTTAACTACACCGTGTTTTAATATGACAAACAGGTTAGCATGACATACAGGTGAGTCAGGGTTAAGAGAATTCTACGTGTCAAATTTTACCGAATTTCGCATAGCGGTTATAGATATATACAGACATATATGTATGTAAATATTTTTGACTGACTAAAAAACCGCTTAAAATTTTGAGGAACACCCATATTCTGTACTTTATTAATGATCTCAATAACTAAATTACAATTGCACTTTATTATCGACCGAATTACGTTTTAATTTCTTGTTAGCTCCATTATCAAAGGACGTATTCAAATACGATCTTTGCCAATGCTTTTCGTTAAATCCGCCCGAAGTCAGCTGAATTGTACAATAACATTTATATTTTGCCGATATGGCAATATTTAGTACTTTCGCTCGCACTTTGCTCAGCTGATTGCTGCAGGGCTGCAATTGGAAATAGTAGGATATTTCATTGAGACACGTTATTTTACGAGAGATTCCAACATTTACAAAGAATTTTGTGCTGTTGATTGCGATTAATATAAAATAATAAAAATTTACATCCAACTTATATTATTGGGGATACTAAATTAGCCACAACTATATTTTATTGCATTAATACTCTTTCAATGCTCTGGAGCTTGTTTGCACATTTGAGATAAACTTTTTGTGCAACACTGCAAAAATGAAATTGAAACACCGGTCAAACCGATAAACGAAGTACCGAAAAAATCACAAAAACCGCAAAGCTGGGTGAAGAATTAAACTTTGTGCTAATATAAACGCTTATTTCGCACGAGTGTAATTTTAAAATGTAATAAAAAAGAAACAGTGAAATGTGGAACTATTTTAAAGTCTCGAAATGCAAAAATTTACGCAGAAACGAAAATTTTATTAGGTGAAGTGCTTTTTCAAACCCAGCAAAACAAGCACCACGGAAACAATAGAGCCACACCAAGCGCCTGCATATAGAGTCAGACGGACAAAGGAACAGCACACGCTGTAGTACTTTTAAGTTTTTTTGTGAAAATTTAAACGGTAAAAAAAACGAAATAATTTAACGCTTATATTATAAAAATTTAATTAGTTAAATGCTGTTGGCAAAGCCGTCTAGCTAGCCGGAAAAGTCCAATGCGTGAACAAAAATTCATAAGCTGCACATTCCACCGCCCCATATGTACTATATAGAACGGGTATTCTTGTCGTTGACAAACAGTTCAATACATAAGGGGGCTGGAATGTTGACAGCCTAATTTTTTGGAGAAGAAATTTATTTTAACGCAACAACAACGCTCATTAAGGAATACTCCAAGCTCTAAATAGGAACGGAATGGCAGTATTAGATGACACACTTACATACACTTCATTACTCGTAGCTAACCATTCATAATCGTCAAGTTTCTCGACATACATATCTAGATTGAAAGCTGTAGATGCCAAGGTTTTCGCAGAAATTCCCACAGCACTCTTAATAAACTTTCGCTAATTAATTATACCCTTATCTTAATTAAACAGTAAGGTTGAGCACGTCATATTTTTTCTTTTAATACCGCTTGTTAAAAATTATCTTCAAATGACGAAAGGAAAATGATATCAGTGTTTGATGAATTCACCTTGCTTAGAAATTGCGTATGTGAGGACAACAGAAATATTCAAAGCAATTTAATAAAATTTTGTTAGAAAATTCTTAAAATCTTCTGGTAAAACTATCAAATGAACTTAAAAGTTGACTAGTAGTGAGGCCTTGGTGAATGATTTATTTTGATGTCCGTTGGTTTTTTTTTTTAACAATAGATAAAGGCATGTGTAAGTGCTTTTGCACTTGAAAACGCAGAATTTCTGCCCACATTACCCATACAACAATGCAAACTCGAACTCCATACAATTTTTCAATTAAAGACTAATATGCAGATACTTGCATGTGTTATATACCTAGCTACTTACCTACCTACTTATAGGGTCATACATACCTAGATGTTTATGTATGTATTTAAATACGAGAATTTGAAGCCGCTATCTATTATTTATTCGAATTTCTGAATAATTTATTGCGATTTCAAATGACGCTTATAAACTCTTCGAATAAATACAACAACAACAACAACAACAGCTATGTATTTATGTACACAGTGAATAAATGTAATCGTAGCCAAACAATTCACGCCCAAACTACCAAACTAAAATAAAAAATATATAATAATGTATATGCATACAAATGGGCACATATTGGGTTTGTTATGCATAAACATTTGTATTCGCAATAATATTGTGGATGCTTACGTACGAGTATATAGAGTCAACTTTTACCGGCAACTTAATAGGTATTTTGTAATTACAAAAAAATGAATTGAATACAAGTTGTAGGTAAATATTTATTTTCTACCGCAATCTTTGCTAAATTAATGCTTTGATATACTGCTTCCGAAATTACCTGTCGTTGTTTAATTTTGCAAAGGAAATTCGAATCGGTACATGTGTGTGTTAATTGTTTTCTATTCTGTTCCTAAGAATAGCGTCATACTATAACAGGGTTATCTTATTTACTGTGACATAAAATACAATATGTATATGAACATACATTCGTACAAGTTTTTTTTATATAAGTACCCCAATACATACATATACATACGTACATATATAGATATTTATGGATATGAGTTGGTTTTAATATACAAATTTTGCAAAACTTACTAGTGTTGACAACATGAATTGAAAGCAACGAGATAATTGTCACCGTTTAGAATAACTACCTCAATACATATGTATGTATGTAATGAGAGTTATTATAAGTGAATATATTGCAACTTTGTTAGGAAAATATATATCATGGTGAAGGAACATTTAAAGTTTTAGATATCTATTACATTTTAGCGATACCAATTGTCTAATAACTTAATTAATCATTATTTTTTTTTCAGAATAGCCAATAATTGCTTGGAGCTCAACTATGTATGTGCAAATACGCCTGACCATAAACTGAATATAAAAGTGCCAAATATTAGGAAAGAAAATGAGCTTTTGACAGAAAATACGATCAAATATACATAGATCCATTCCGATAGATGGACCGACTTGATTTTGATTAGCAAATATACTGCAGATATACATACATACTTGTACTTGTATATATGTAGTACGTATGTATGTACGTAATATATATTTTCCCAATATCCAAATTTAGCTAAATTATAATGTGAAACGGACCAAACTAGTCAACAAAAAGGATAAGTTTTAGATATCAGCAGGAAGCGACTAATAGAGTTTGCATTTAAACGCTACACAGACGATTACTTTACGGTCTCAATTGCCAATTCCTCGCAAAAAAGATCTCTCCGTTTTATATATTTCTCCATATACTGAACGCACATATTCATCAATTCCTCTGGTGGCTTGAAAATATTATTTGTTTAAAAATGGGCAATAAAAATTCCTGTTGTGCTTATTCAAGCCCACAATCCGATCGAAAATCAAAAGAGATACCACCTGTATATGAGGAAAGACATCATGTACACAGTAGTCACCATATATCATCCTCGCAACACCAATTAGATGGACACATTTCAGCTTCCACGGCGGCTATTCATCACAGTGCTGGCACACTGGATAATCCACACAACTTGCAACACATCTCAGAGCGCGAGGCACTAGAAGGAGAAGATGATCCTTCTGTGGACCCTACCGCTGCTACTATGTTTCTTGAACGTTCCAAAGTAGAAAATGGCGGTATCTCTCGTAAACGTTCACAGCATCAAATCGCCCAACAGGCAGCGAACTCAACTGGCGGAGGTCTAAAGAAAAGTTCATCATGTTCTACAATCTATTTGGATGACAGTACTGTCTCGCAACCTAATCTAAAGAACACAGTGAAATGCGTATCGCTTGCTATTTATTACCACATCAAAAATCGACAATCTGATCGTCGGCTAGACATTTTCGACGAGAAGTTGCATCCTTTAACGCAGGATGCCGTTCCTGATGACTACGATTCACATAACCCAGAGCATAGACAAATCTACAAGTTCGTACGCACGCTATTTAACGCGGCACAATTAACCGCAGAATGCGCCATTATAACGCTAGTCTATCTAGAGCGGTTGCTCACTTATGCCGAGTTGGATTTGGCACCGTGCAATTGGAAGCGCATGGTATTGGGTGAGTTTGATGAAGTCAGAAAATGTGTGTTATTTGTATTAATACTATTTGATTTATTTCACTAAAGGAGCCATACTGCTAGCCTCAAAGGTTTGGGATGACCAAGCCGTGTGGAATGTTGATTATTGTCAAATACTGAAAGACATTACTGTGGAAGATATGAATGAATTGGAACGTCAATTTCTTGAATTGCTGCAATTCAATATAAATGTACCCTCATCCGTCTACGCCAAATATTACTTTGACTTACGCACGCTGGCCGAAGCGAATGATTTATCCTTCCCAACAGAACCACTCTCCAAGGAGCGTGCGCAAAAATTGGAAGCTATGTCACGTGTTATGCAAGATAAAGTGACTGCCGAAGCGTTAAAGAATGGTATGAAGAAGTGGTCATCCATGGACAACATAAGCCAAGGTGGTCCACGTCGTTCCGTGGCTATACTTTCGTGATTTTCATTAGTTTATTAGAGCGACAGAGAATATAACTATAATAGCCAGTGCGTGAAAAAATTAAAAATTTTAATTATATAATAATTAATCGCACATATTCTTAGAACTTCGCTGCCCCAAAACCTTATTAGATGTAAAGCAGATAATGAGGTACGATTTTTCGTATACGAATGAAAATAAAAAAGCTTTTGCGAACAAATACATCACCGAAAGTAAACGATAAAGTATTTTAATACGAATCTTTAAATATAATAAAGGCAACGTGTACAAGATTAAGTGAATTATACCAAGTATTGCCAACTTCTTAAACGCATTAGTCTAATCTTCCTTTCGTCATTTGTAAATCGCAAAAGTAAATGCGTTTAAGGGGTGTTTGAGACAAAAATGTATAGCATTTCGGGATATATTTTTGTTTATGTGCTGCTTTTCTTCAGTTTAGTAGCGACAAAAAAATAAAATAGAGAAGAAAATTGGTTCGTAAATAATGTCTCACCACGAACTTAAAAACTACTTTTAAAATTGGATGACTTTCATATAAACGGAAATGGAGAGAGCTTTTTAATGAAATTTTGTATGCAGATTGTATTGTATTGAAGGTTACACAATATCCATGGAATCAATATTATGATTTTTTTTTTTTTTTTTTTTTTTTTTTTTTTTTTTTTTTTTTTTTTTTGAAGGATTTTAATGTGGTTAAAAATTTCAATTGCTTTAGATAAATTAATACACAGTTTTTTTCGTTAATATTTAAATTGCTATTGATGCTTGAACGTTACATTCACGTATTAAAAAGTTTATATATTTTTCACCATTCTTTATCAATTCAATTCGGGATTTATATACAAAGACAAACATTTATCTAAAGAAAATTTTGTATTTTCATTTAACTTGACCGTCATACAGCGAAAAAGAAAATCGTCAAATATTATTGCATGCAGAATAGTCCAACATACAGTGTCTCTTCCGCTGGTATCGTTTTATGAATAAATAAAATAAAAAAGCTCGAATTGTGCAAACTTAAGCGTTAAAGACCATTTTAAGTAGCTTTTAAATGAATGTTAGACAAGTACGTATAATGTTAGATGTACTGAGAAATGAGGTGCGAAATTAGCATAATATTCGAATTTTAAAAATATAAAACAGTGGCCAAAAAAAAAAAAAAAATATACATATGAATGCTTTAAAAAGCTTCACAAGACTCTATAATAAACTTATGCAGATATTTTTAATACTAAGAAAAATGAATTAAAAACTTTTATTAAACATAATTCATTGTCAGATGGGTATAAGAATAACCCAAAATACTTCACTTACTGTGCTATTGATTAAAAGCTTTAGTGGCGATGAGTACAAAATATTACTCAACTGGAATTGCTTGCATTAAATTACGCAAATATTTTTGTATTGAATTCAAATTATCTATTTTGGTGTATGTACATACCCAAGTTGCTGCAATTAAAATTTTCTTTTTTTAAAAAATTTCAAATTCATTCATTTTGTTTTCTCTTTCTTCGAACGAACATCCTTAAGTTTTGTCGTATACCTAAAAACCTCTCGCTACCAAACTGCTAACAAGAAAAAAAGAAAACGGAGATTTTGTATATTTTTTGTATAAAAATTATTTTGTGATGTTATTTAACGTTCTAATATAGCTTTCAACTAATGTGTTTTGTAAATTTCGTTTTCCATACATACCATAAGTAAACATGAACACATAAATCACTGAAAACGAATTGAAGACGTTTGATAAGCATAAACATATGAATAGTAATAATTAGTAATACTTTTAAAAGTAACGAACAACAGAATACTTAAAACTCTTTAGTATTGTAAGTCAGATTTGCTTCTAGATATACATACATACATACATACTTATTTATAAAGACGATAAGCGCAGAAATCATCAAAAAAGGATTAAACTATCAGAAATGGATAACAAAATAACCAAAAAATACTAATTTCTAGTAGAGTTTAGCAAAAAATGCGATATTTGTAAATCTATTAAAACTAGAGAACAAGACATCAATGTGAATAACACAAGCAAAGAAAATATTTTTTTAATTTGTAATTTCTTTTACACATAACCTTAATTCAATAAAAAAAAAATAAATTGCATTTCAACATAACTTAGATATTTTCTTTTAAAACCGATAATTCGAGCTTCTAAGAGTGTACCATACGGGGAAATATATACATACATATAAACAAAAAATGTTTGTTGCCAACGGCATAGCGATCAAAATTGAAACAGCAATGGATAATTTAATATATTTTGAATTGAATCCTAAAGATTTCTGACAATATATGCATAGATAACGATAGGCTGTACAAGGACTAAAGCTCTACACATACATTTATGAGTTAGAACAGCAGCTTTTTAACACCCACTCCTCTCTAATGTATAATAGCAAGCAGCAGCTGAGGTGATGATGGAAAAAATCAAGTCGCTCTTAATTTCTGTCTCACGGGCGTCAGTAGCGGCAGCCCCAAAAAGTCCTCTTATAAGATAGGGCGGTATCAATTGAGTTGATACGAATTTAGCTGATTAAACTTTCTGTCAAAGTAATAAAAAAACAAACTCGTGTGATTGAGCGGTAAAAGCACTCCAGGATTTTGGAAAACGCAATTTTTTTTTTGCTCAAAGGGGACCTTTGGGCTCTAGGAATGATATGACATTGATGTTAAAGTGAATAAAATATTTCAAATAGCTGAACTTTTAAATTTGCTGCAGCCTCTCAGAGCGTGCGCTGAGTACAATGTAAACTTTAAACATGTTTTTCTCAAATTTACATTTTTCGAACTGGGAGGACAGATCATTTGGATCCTATTGCCTCGATTTTTAATAATTTAGTACGTATTTTTAATTAAAAATCTATCTTTTTAAAAAAAAGTGTGCTATTTTTAAGAAAAATTAAAAAAAAAATCCGTACGTTCTTCCAAAGGCCATAGTTTGTAGATCATAAAACTGTTTGCTTTTCTGTTCATGATCCCAGTCCTCCCGTGGACGCATTTCAAGAAAATAAGGATGAAATAACAAACCCTGTCACCGCCATTTTGTAACAAAATAATAACTGAACAATATTTGTTTATACTTCAAAATATGTTCAGTGAAATGGTTAAATAGAAATTATATTCCTTTTCCCATATTCCTACAATCAATTTTTCAAAATAAGTCTTTTTTCAACCTCTAGAGTGGCTTTACCCCTTAATATCAGCACAAGGTTTATAGACAATCCGTATGCAAAATATGTTATGCCATGCGGTTTAGTTTTAACCAACAAATATTACACCAGTCTGGCATCCCTTCTTAAGCTCTCTACTGTAGTTGCCAAACGCACAAATTTCACGACAAATGAATAGTGAATTATTCAATTTGAAATTTTGCAGGATATATTAAACCAATTTTGCTAAATTACCTATGATGGCTTTTCAAATATTTCGGGATCGGCAACTGGATTTTGTAATAAATCACTGAGTTCCAATTATCTGATGTACAATATATCACTCACCAGCAGAGCCAGTCATCGCACACAGTTTGTCAAGAAGCAGTTTACATGATAAGTCGGTCTGAACGGTTGGAAGTTGTACGCCTCCGCCCTGTTCCACTGTTTGATTTCAATCTGCCCTCGTTTTCTGCGCGATTAACGGCGTTCCCAACTGTTCTTTACGATGCAGAAAACATTTCTGATCATTCCGCATCAATGTGCGGCTACGAAGCACAATCTTCTGCCAGACTTTTCTAAATTTCATAAAACTAACTTGAACGATGCTCACTTTGACGAACTTCAGAACCAAATGCAACGAAATGTATATAAAAAGATCCCTTACAAACTGACGATTATGAACCGGAAGAGGAGCAAAATAGATAAAGCCCTTTCTACTATTATTTCAGTATTCCTGGAGCTGCAAATTCGAAAATTTTGCTTATTTACGTATCTCCCAAAAAAAGAATATGCCTCGTCGCTGAAGAAATTTTTTTTTTGAAAAATCGCCTTCCATTATATATTACAGTCGATATATTTACAGAAGACTCTCGTTTTTCGAAACTCCAAGGGTTCTAAGAATACTAATTTATTGTATTTGAGAGTGATTGAAATACCAAACAGTTCGAAATTTTTGAGAAAATAAAAATTAAGCATCGAATTATTGAGATTTGTAAATTAAGAATTATTTATTACATGCCCTTCTTTTAGGAGATTGCTATGGAGCTCGTAATGACTCTGAATTAAAGAAGATTCGAATTGTCGAGAGTCGCCTGTATATATTTTTCGCATTGCCAACATATTGTAAATGAAATGAAATAAACAAACTCTCCATTGCATGAACTGGCGTCGATACATGATAGAAGTTGTACGTACACACTTGGGAAGCCTCTCGAAATGTGTCACCAGGTATAAAAATTGTACTATCAAGAGCCCACCAATCAAAAATGACCAAATGTATTCATAACAAAAGCAAGTGTGTATGCAAGTGTTTGCAAACATGTATGGGGAGGGGAGCGAAATAAAGAAAGTAAGAAGTTACGTCAAAGTGCTTTGCGGCACAAATTTGGGGCTGCGGGTAACTTTTAGTACGCATTTAAATAATTTATATTGCTAAACAAAGCTATTTTTATTATCACTCATTCGAGTTTGGAGCCTTCTTTAGAGATATAAACATATTTCGGAGCTTATACATTAATAAATATTTCAGAATATTGAAATTGAAATATTTCAGTGATGCCTGTTTTAAATTTGATGCCTTTTCAGGGTTGCTCTTTGTATAAATAAAAGAAATGTAGAAGAAGAAGATCAATGAACGAACGAGACGAGTCGTCAATTGAGAACTGAGAGCTGCCGAAAAAGTTGAACAAGTTGTGAAAAATCGAAATTTTCTCTGTTATTCACTGTCATTTTGGTGAAAAATCGGACAAAATTTATTAGTTAAATATTCAATTCAATAACAGACATTTTATTAAATATAAAACACTTTTCTTTTTGCTGAAAGATATATAAGTGTACAAAAGCTGACGCGTGACGTACCACCAAATCATTGAATTTTCAGTACACATAACAAGAAGCACGAAGTGTAGAAAGAAATAAATTAATATTTAGAAACCTGGGGAAAGGAGGCAACAACATAAGGTGGGACTCTTGCTGGTCTTTGTGTGGAACAGATAAAATAAATAATTTAATACTAAAAATAGATGAGCGACGTATTGTAACATCAGTAACGGCGCATTATTAAGCTGAACAAGTTGTTAATTACATTGGTTGAAACATTTGTGCAAAGAGAAGCATAAATTACACTAGAAAAGTTAATTACTGTTTTGGGCGAAACGGCCAACACAATCCAATTATCAATCGTAGTAAAATTATTATTAAGTTGTCTTGCCAGCTGTAATTGTAAAACTAATCAATTCGTACTAAATCGAAAACATTGGATATAGAATAATTGAAATATGAACGAAACTGCGTCAGCTACATCATCGTCCACGACGTCATCGGCGGTGGCAGTCGCGGATAGTGCTAGTGCAGCAGCGACTACTAAAACAGCAAATTCAGTTGCAGCCGCCGTGAATGCCGCAAGTAGTGCAGCGGCAGCGGCTGCTTCAACAACAACAAAAGATACAAAATCAACAAGTGTTAAATTATTAATTAAAGCTTCAAATCAACAATTTGATGATCAAATGCTGGAAACTGATTTGCTTTGGACAGTGAAGCGTTTGAAGGCCCACTTGGCAATGGTTTATCCTAACAAACCAGTAAGTATTAGTTTTGCACCACAAAATTATACCACATACTTGATAATTAAACAATGTCATTATATTCATCTATACGTAAATGCACATATACATTCATTTATGCTAGTGTACAGGCTTTTTATCAGAATACAATTTTGCAAATTTTATTTAACACAAACGTAAATACTACGTATGGTGTGCTGGAATCGCTGCGTTGTTTTCATTAAATTCTATTGTATGTGTTTTAAAGCATATAGAGTATAATGATGGCGATTCTAGTTGTTTTCAAAACTAGCTTTACCCGTTAGAGAAGCAGACGTGCAAAATGTTTTGCCTATCGCTAAGATTATAATTTAAGAGTTTGTGTGTTTCATCAAATATATCTGCATTTTTTGCTTCGTCATTGTTTCAATGCTAAATTTTAAGTTCATTAGTACCTAGCTTAAAATATTCACGTTTAACAGTTTGCAAAGAAATAATTATTACGCTGAACGCCAACATTGCATAATTTGTTACAATTTTTATTTACAAACTATTTATTTAGTTGTGAACGTCGGTAGAATCACAATTAAAATAAAGATTTAACTATGCTTGTATGTGAGAATAATTTATAAGCTATTTCCTCTATTTGTTTTTCGTTCTTCTTTATTTTGCTTTCTTTATTTGTGAGCGCGAATCGCTTATCTTATCAATGTTCCAGTGAACTTACTGTACATTATACAAGCATATATGTTTGTATGTATATGTATTTAATTGTATATGTGAAGCCCATATTAGTGGAAGAAACTGTTTGCAGCCACCTCAATCGGTTCCAAACCGAAGCCTATATGTTGAGCTTGTATTGTTTGTTTGATATTTTCATATATTTTTCTTCCAGCAGTTGATTAGAATCTGTTGATATAGAACTGCTAGAAATTTCGTGGTGCTTGTTTGAAATTACACACTCTTCGCAATTTAATTCAGTTTGTGCTTCACTAGTAGTAGCTGTAGCTCAGGGTTTACTTCGCTATCAATGTTAGTATTTAAAATGTATATAAATTAATTAGACCTTTGCTGTCATAAAGTGTCGCACACTTGAGAAATATATATACATACATATGCTTGTATATATGTAAAAAAGCAAAAAAGTAGTCAAGATTATTTTGGGACACGTGTGCTAATAGCAAATTTGTCACAATTAAGTTCATTTTGTGTAATTTTCGCTAAAACATTTTCTTGAAATTTATGTAAACTAAAAAAAAATACTTCTTTAAACATGTATGTATTGTATATACAAGGTTGAAGTCTGAAAATGCAAAAATTGTATAAAGTTACATTATACGCTTAGGATTTTTTGCCGCTAATGCATTTCTCTCATTCCTCTTTTCACTCGCTTTTCGCAAGGCAATCAAGTGAATTAAAATATAATTTAACTGGCTAAATAATAGTAGCACAACAGATGATCAAACATGTAAATATATTAAAGTGTATGTCTGGTTTTCGGGAAAGGAAATGTACACGTCATGAATTGCTAACATATCACACATACAAATAAACCCAATATAAAGAAAATGCAGAAACAATTGTGTCAATACTACCAGGGTCTCACATTCTCTGGTATTTTGCTATATTGAAAAGTTTTGATTATATGTATATTTAACTATATTTATTAATTTTTGTGCTCGCTTTTTTTAATTTCAGCCTGTTGAGGAGCAAAAATTGATCTATTCCGGTCAACTGCTGAGTGATAACTTACTGCTGAAGGATGTTATACGCAGCTACAAAGACGTTTATACTCAGAACCATATAATACATTTAGTATATACACCGAAGAGTTCTCTGAACGCGAATTTAAAGAAAAAAGCCAAAGGTAGTAAATCCTCATCATCGGCCAACATGAGTCCCAGTGGTAATGCAGCTGATGGTTTGCGGCAACGCAACATTTCTGGCGCCGGTACGCCAAATGCTACAGCTCAACTACATTATCCACAGCAATTATATCACCAGTACCAACAGCAACAACAACAGACGTATCCACAACTAAATCAACAATTTCAAACTCCGCAGTGTCCTGCCTTTAACCCTAACAATTCACAATATGCAATGCCCTTTGGTTTTCCCGGACAATTAAACGTTCAAGCTATGGCCACTCAACAGGCTGCCATGTACAGTTGGATGCAGCAGGTGTACTCCCAATATATGGAGCAGTATATGCGCATGTAAGTGCAGACAAGTAAATTTACATTTTTATTGTAAAAACAATTTTTATTTATTTGCAGGATCAACAGTACCACACCATCTACAGGGATTGCCAGTCCAACTATGACAAATTCTGCAACATCCAATTTGCCAGCAGCCGGCTACAGCCCATTTGGCTTTAATCCATTCTTACAACAATTGCCTTTTCTAGCACCAACAACGTCAGCGGCGGGTGTAGCTACAGCCGGTGTTACAAATCCTGTGATATCATCAAGTTCATTGCTGTCGCAACCAGCTACTGCGTTGGCACAACCCGCACATAATTCTGAAAGCAACAGTGCCGCACCAGCAGTTGCAGGTGGCGAACAACAGCCACAACAGGTACAGGCGCAGGCGCAACCGGAGGGACAGCAAGCAGCTGCACCGCGTTTTCCCAATATTGTGCAGGATGAACAAGATAATCGTGATTGGCTGGATAGTTTCTTCTCGATTACTCGTCTCGCTATATTTTTGACAATTCTCTACTTTAATTCATCTCCATTGCGTTGTCTGGCCGTTGTTATAATTGCAGGCGGTATTTATCTGTAAGTAAAAATTTTGAAAACTAGTATTACTTCGGGTGTCCACCAGAGCTCCTTTTTTTCCTTTATTTCTAAAGGAGTTATTATTAACTGTGATATTAATTTTTCAGAAGAATTTTCGAGTTTATTATAACAGGCCTATTCTGTCGAGGTAACAAATTTTACCTAGGTATTAAAATTTACCATTCAGTAAATTTTGTTACCATTTCCTATTCTGAGCTCACTGTTACCCTGTAAATTTTGTTACCAGCGAAATAGGAGGTAACAAGAATATCTGCTGTTTGATTTTGTGTTGTAAGTTTGAGAAAAAATAAAAAACCAAAATGGGTAGGCATATTTTAGGCCTGGAATTCATTGAAGATAAAGAAAAAAGTGCAAAAGCCATATTTTAAGATAGTCGAATTTGGCTTACAACTCCACTTAAACTCAAAATCGTAGTAAACAGACAAATTAAAAATATGGCGCTTACCAAATCATCATTGTTGTATATAAAGTAACCATAATCAATCTTATAAATGTTGGCACCCAAGTATAGAATTGCAGTTGATTGCGTTATTTATGTTCTTTTTCCATTTCTCACTCTTTCAGCTATCACATCGGCGTGTTGCGCCTGCGTAATGAGCGTAACAACAACAACATTAATCGTAACAACAATGCCGCAGATGCGGATCAAATACGTCGCGGCGTACGACAGGTGCAACAGGCGGCACAGGCTGACGAGCAACGTAATCGTGCAAATGAGAATGCCGACGATGGCGTTGATCGGCAAGTGCCTGCAGCAGCCGGAGGCGAAGGTACAGCGGCAGTTGTACCTGAAAATACCGATAATAATACTGCATCTGTGATTTCTGTTTTGCGTACGTTTGTGGTGACATTTTTCACTTCTTTGCTGCCCGAAACGCCGACACTTTGAAGAGATTTGGAAGTTGAGTTTAAAAGTTTCGTGGCGTTAATTTTCAGTGGAAATATATAATGTATAGGTTTTTTTTCCTATATTTAGTATGTTAAAGAAATTTTTGTATTATTCTAACCAATAATTGTTTATTCCTTTGCTGCGAAATGATAATGAAATCGATCTTAGCGCTAAGCAAGACCGTCATTTATACGGGGGGCGTGTATATGTGTGTATTTGTTCGCGAAATTCTTTCTCCACATATAAGCTAATGAATGATTAGTTTTAGAGATACAGAAATACAAAGACAAATATACTTACATATATGTGCGATTCAAATGTTCGCTTGTTCTTAAGAATGCAATATGTTTTGCTCTTTTTATTACTATTAATTATTTTTTCCTTATGAAATGTGAAATATGAGAAAAGTATTGAAATAACCTGTTATATAACTGCAATGCTGCATAGCTTGTTGTGAATTGATTCCAAAGTAATTCCATTGGAAAAGAACTCTTGTTTTCTGACCCATTGGAAATATCGAAATCTATAGCTTTTATGGCTACATCCCTATTTAACCGCACTTGCACTATTATATATACTACGTACGTACATACATACATATTGTTTTTTAGTACATGTTTACTGATTTTTGCGATTGTTACGTCTATTGGACGTTTATTATTTATAGCTTTTAAGTAACAAAAATAAACAAATACTTAGATACACGTTTATAAATAAAAGAAAATAACGGGAAGTATATTTGTGGCATAAGAAACCATTCTAAATAAACTTAATAAAAATGCTTTATTCATTTATAGACTACAAAAATCGACTCTTATTCGAAAGTCTTTACTCTGACTCCAAGTTTATATACTCGTAAAATAATAGCTCAAGCTCGAATTTAACTTGTGCTTTTTTTGTATTTGATGTTATTTTTTTCGGCATAATTTTGTTTTAAGATCTACATTTCTTGAAGCTGTCTCGGCTTTTAAACTATTATTTAGGTGGGTTTGAAATGCAATGTGCAGGGCCACTCGCTAGGCTTTACTTAATAATGAGACACAAATCGCTTATGAATTCATTCTACGCTCCGAGAGAATTTTTATTCATTTAAATAACATTTTTATTTCATAATTAATTTTTTTTATTTCACCTCACCTGCTTGTGGTGCGCTTTAAAGCAAAATTTTTGGTCGTCGTGCCACCACTCATTGCATTCGAAAACAACAACTCAGCAATGTAAAGTTTGGTGGAAGTGCTAACTAACACCTCCACGTGGTGACGGCCGGGCAACGCCTGCAGTCCGGCCATGTCTCTGCTGTAGGCGGCTAAGTCAGTTCGAGCCGAGGGAGACAACCCTCCCTAAAAACCTCCATAAACTGAGGGTGTTATGCGTTCCGTGCCCATTCGGAAGATTTGCAGCCAGGGAGTAATATCGGCTGTATTGGAACGGAGCTCCCCCGACATCGGGGCACCTCCGGGTGGTATCAATGACCTTACCATGGTATAGGGCGCTGCCTTTCCAAACAGAAGGCTGTTTAAAGTCGCCGTAATAGTTCATAAAAAATTATCGAAAATTCCTCAAGTAGAACGTATTGATTGCCAAAAACTACATTTGTTGTGGGCTACCGCCATATATGATTTTGGGAGAAAGAAATTCGCTGATATGCTAGCGACTGAATTTCGGTTAGACGCTCCGCGGGAGAATGTGAAAAAGAACACTCTGAGAAATTCCTCATCTACCTTTCCATGCCGGGGTCATCTAAAGAGCGCAATTTATTTTTGTAGACGAAATTTAGAATTACCAGAAACAAAACTCAATTCGGAAGATCGGCGGAAATTTCCATGGGCCAAAAGTGTACTTGGTTTAAATCGTTCACTGTTAACAAAAGTATTATCTTCCACGGATGAACCAGCCGTAAAGCCCACAAAAGCTAGTGAAAAACGGTCTAAAGCAAAAGTAGAGCCTCCTAAAGCTAATTCAAAGCCGAGTATTGTATTAGGTATTACAAATCAAATTCCTGTGCTCATATCCGTTGCCAAAACTAAACAAAAACCTTTAAAGGCCAAGCAAAGTGCTACAGGGGTTAAAGCTCAACAAGTGAAATCACCGATCTCAGCGCCATTAGTGAACGTAAGACCTAATCCGCCAAGCCAAATGCAACCAATCTAAATCTAGTCATCAATCAACAGATATTAATGTAATGCCAGTTGTGAACAGTTTTCCAACTCCTTTCATGTATTGTACAACTGCGCTCGAGTAAATTTGACGTACGCAGACGTCCCTCCTAATATGGAAGTGCCGATCACAACACCAATGAGGAATTTCCAAATGCCTTATATGTGCAACTCTAACTTTTTAAATGCTCCGAATTTTGAAGTTCCTGCGTATATGAGTAACTTTCAAAGTACGACGACATACGATATGCCTGCAGTGCCGAATTGGGAATCCTACGTTCCTAATCTAGCGGGCACCGAAGTGTTGTCAACACCTTACAGTGCCTCCGATGCGTATAAACCCAACACATCAGCGGAACGTGTGCTGGTTCCATGCAAGACGTCCCTTGTGGCCACGGTAAGGCCAACTAAAAGTTTTGAAACTCGTCGTAATGTGGAAGATTTTTTGAACTCAACAAATCCCTCGTTAAATGTAACAAATACTTCATAACTTTGTCGACTAACGGATAAAGTTGATAGCCGAGATGAAATTCCAAAAAATTTGGTTGTATGGCTTGTAGATCGTAAAAATGCCGATGGCGAAATCAACCCTACGCATTGGCAAACAATCAAAACCAAAATAATGCCGATATTACACGAAGTATTACGATCAAAAGGCAAGTCAAACAAACATCGGATTATTGACTTACGAAATGCGCACGAGGATCGCATACAATTATTTGGTCTCGGTGGTCATAGAACACTTAAACTTTTCCAAAATACACTGCAGTTAATGAGTCAGCTGTGGCCGGATTCGAATATTACAGTTATGCCCAAGAGATTGCTTTCGCGTCGTCCACGTTACCGTGCATTCATATCCACCGAACCATCCGATCCGGAAACTATTATGACGATAATCAAAGTTAGCAATCCCGCGCTACCAACGAACATCGTCCGATATGCTTTACGTGAGTACCTGCCGACGTCGGCCTAACCTCACGGTGCTCAAAAACACAACGGATCAAATCAATGCGTTGATCAGCGCCCCATAATGCAAGCATTATGGTATCAATTGGCAGTGTGGAGTGGACACACTAACCACCTTGGTAGGGTTCGAGGCCTATCTAAAACCTCTGCCGTACTATGGGTCCGGCACCCGGTTGCAATGCAACACCACATTGAGCTGACATAACGTCAACTATTCCCGCATTTGGGTTTAAACCACAGCCACCACGATGCACCCCGAGGGGGCCTATCCGCATGAACAGGTCGGAGCAAGCTCCGAGGGCTCCTGTTCCCCGTGGTACCAGATTTAGGTCTCCGGTCGAACCTCGTAGCCGAAACTACTACCAGTTGAGCTTCCATACAGCTCCGGACTGGTGGCCTGGGGTTGAACTGCATTCTCCGCGTACCAACTCAAACATGCTCATTCATACTCCTAACCTAATGGTCAATTAAACCTCAGATGCCTTCGCCGTCTAAACACATCACGCGCAAACACTTCAAACACACGGATGTACTCTCCACATGAGAGAACATCACACACCCTATACCGTCCATCTGTCCTAACTATTCCCATACCCCCTAAGTCCCTAATGTCTGAGTACATCGGGCATTCACACAACACATGCATCCAATCCTCTCGCTCTATACCACACTCACAGCTCGCCGTTCCGCTCAAGTGCCTCTCATGCAGAAAAGCATTTAGAGGCCCATGACCGGTTAGCAGAAAACCCATACTCAGAGAAAATCTGAAGTCTGGATTTTCCACCACAAACGAGACATCCCGAATGTACTCATATGTCACGCGACCATTAGAGCTATTCTCCCAACGGTCTTGCCACTTCCTAAACACACATGTACTTAGAAGCCTACGGCATTCCGAGTACCCACACTCTAGGTTAACCAACCATCCTGCAGCAACTCAACACTCAATCCCCTCTTCAGCTTGAAGGCTACAGCACGCTGTATGCTACCAACGTACAATAGGAAATCGGTACAAATATCAACGAGGAAAACAAAGGGCAACGAGCCATTAGCATCGCAACAAATGAAGAGTCATTTGCACTGTCGCTGGAGCAGGATATGGTCATTAATTATGCCTTTGGATTTACGAGGTTGAAAATTTATAAAGATGATCGACTTCCAAGTGAAAAAGACATCAATTATAGCAAAATTTAGTCAAAATAATGACAACGCCACTGAGCAACGAATATCAAGTCCGCAAAAACCGAGAAAGAGATATAAGCGAGATGCCGACGACGGCAGATCGGACATGAACGCCGAACGCGCATCACTAACACAAACCATACTGAATCATTTGAATCAGATGACTGTTGAGAGTTTGGAGCACAATGTCGACCCTGAAGAGTACAGAGGTTGGTTCTAGTAGTGTAGGGATGGCAGGGGTGCGAAAGAGTCTGCTACAAACTACAATTAATACTAAATTTATATTTACAATGTTAACTATTTGAGCGATTCTGGTCCTCTGGAAGTTCTGGAATAAATGTGTTTTATAAGTAACTTGACTGAAATAATTTGTCTAAATTTAAATAACTAAATCGTAATTGAAGCAGAAAACACGTAAGTCCAAGAAAAAAATGCCTAAGAATAAATGGTTATGATTAATTACTCGGAATATGGCATGCGGATGCACCTATTTAAGGGGTTACATACACGGTGTGTCCTAAAAATAACCGAACTTTATATTTAAATCATACGGCATACAGCGCCATCTATTGAAAATTTGCAACATTAAAGAGATACATTCATCCTCTTTCAAACGCACCTAACAACATGTAAGTCGGATGGAACAAAGAGCAAATATAAAATTTTGTGCCAAACTTGAAAAAAAAATTAATGAAAAAAGTTTATTGTGATGATTGTATGAGTCGTACGCAAGTTTATACGTGGTTTACACGATTTAAAAATGGTCGTGAGGATTTAAATGACGACCCTATAGCAGGACGTCCAGAAACTAGAAATCGTGCTGAACTGGTGGAAAAAGTCCGTGAAATCATTGGTATCGATGCAAATTTAACTACGAGAATGTTGGCTGAAGAATTGAATACTAGTAAAAACACTATTTGGAGAATTTCAACTGATGATTTGGGAAAAGAAAGGTCTGTGCGCGATTTGTTCCACATGAATTAAATGACGACCAAAAAATCGCTCGAATTTTTAATGAAAAAAGGGAATTCTCTCATCGACCATTCTCCGTATTCGCCTGATCTATCACCATGTGACTATTTTTTATTTCCAAAACTGAAAACCAAGATGACATAAACAAATCTATGCATTCGCTGGTTGATCGTTCCAAACGTTGTGTTGAGTCAAATGGAACCTATTTTGAATAAATAATAACTTTCAAAGATAATATAATGTTTATTTTATTTTATATCCAAAAAGTTCGGTTATTTTTGGCACACACCGTGTAGGTCTTGAAATTTCAAAAAATTCCATGGTTTGATAATTTTTTGTATAAAAGTACATAGTGTTAGGAATATTTCCCCTAGTTTCAAGTCGATCGAGACGGAACTGTAGAAATTAGAGAGTTTTATAACTCGCCATCTTTGTGATGGCTTGACCGATGGCGAAATTTTAAAAGTGTTTTTCTTAAAACCACTTTATCGAAATCCGTAGTCAAAATTTCTCAACGACTCTTGAAACGAT